TTAGCTTAAATTACAAAGCAGATCTCTTTCTAGAAAAGCAAAACGGAAACCGAAGCATCCTGAGGTAGAAAAAGAAAATCCGAGGATTATGACAAGGTCGAGGGTGATCCTGCAGCAATTCGTCGTCTTCCTCGCAAATACCTAGCTAAATCTCTAAATATCACCGGGGAACATAAAAAAAAAGCAATTAAACTAATCAGAAGCCGTGCAGCCAGACCGGCCGGCCGACGCGTACGATATGAACCTCAAGATTAAACTTCGTGGTTTTACTTTTCACTAAAAAAAAATTAAAAATTTGAGGCAAATTCAATTCATTTCACCGGTTCCTCCGCCATTAGAAAGCACAATTATTTTTGTCCTCTCGTCCAAAAAAGGGGGAAAAATCCATAAGCGGAATCAACCGAATCCCCAGAACATACATCAAAAGGAATATACTATGAGAATTTAAAAGGGGGGACAAAAACAAAGGGAGAAGAAACGTACATGGCCTGAACCCATTCAATCGGGACATCAACAGAAGCAATGACGACAAGATCGGCATCAACCCTAAGTTTCGAAAGGGATCTCATCATCACCCTCGTCGCGACATAAAACTCATAGTCTCGCGGCGTACCCATATACATCATCGCAGCGTACGCATGCCGCTTCGGCCCAACGGCTACCATTTCCGCGGGCGTGTTCCCCGCCGCCGCAGGCCACGCCAAAAGCACCAAAACAAGCGCAATCGACAAGGCGGATCTCCACCCCCGTCCCTCCATAATCCCAAGTTCAAATCTCCCAAATCAAAGCAAGGATAAACAGGACTAGTAGTTCTGAGCAACGACAGATCAGATCCCCTCTTCAGGCACCTCTCTACTCACTCGCATTCCAGGATCTCCGGTGTTTCACCTCGAAATCTCCGCCGCTGGTAAGCGAAACTCCGATCAACTCCGGCCGGCGATCATTGCCTGGCCAATGGTCGGAGGTACGCCGTAGGAGATAGAATAGGAAAGTGCGCGACTTTTTTCCTTGGGGCGGCCGAGTCCCGAGCGTAGTGGCGACCACCGAGCAGTGCCCTAAAAAGCTTTAGCAGACGGAATTGCTTTGTGGATCGTGAAGGGCGCATATATAGCAGTGGAGCGACTTTTCTTTTTTTTTTTTTTTTTTTTTTTTAAAGGATTGAGGATATGAATAAAATAATAAAATAAAATAATAAATTAATTTGGAAAATACATTGGTCCCATTGGCCGTCATGAGCCTGCTCGACCGAGTCGCACTTGTACGCATAATGCGTGTTGCAAATTATGCGACGCCTCGCGTATATCTATTCTACACAACTCATATTAAAACACTGGAAAACTTGGAACTGATAGTTTTGTATATATATATATATAATTTTTAATATTATATCTCACATTACTTGCGGTCAGTATATACAAAATATTCAAAGAAAAATAAATTTAACAGCCCCTCGTTAAAATCTCTAGTATCTTTTCTCACCCGATGCTACTTATCCTTCGCTCGTGAGCTTTGACTAGTTCCATGTAAGTGCTAAAAGTCTCGCCGCGCCAATCCATATAACACATTATGAAGCAAGGAAGAAAAGCTTTTGTATTCACTTGGTAAAGAGAAGTGCTTAATATTGAAATATTATCAAACTTCTAAGTACTTGTGATACATCATAGGCAAATTTTCGTTATACGACATAAATTTTGAGGCATGACATTGATCTCGAGACAATTATTTGAGCAAATAACTATCAAATTTGAATTTAGAGTCAACCAGAGCCTTGATTTCAACAAACTTACACTCAAACTGATCGGATCGACGAGATAGACCCAATGATATGAAAATTAGTTAAATATGAGTCAAATCAAGCTCAGATCAAGTCATTAAACTGCTTTTGAAAGTTTTTTTGGACACATTCAAAAGGTCAAATTGATGTCGAATCTAGTGATTTTATAGTTGATTTGAGCGTCTCGATAAGACAAATCCAATGATTTTAAGATAGCTCAATTTTGACATTGTTAATGTTCTCAAATGTCCATCAAACAACGTCCGATCGAGGGAACCTCTCTGGATCGTCTGATCAAAGTGGTTTATATTCATGCATTAATCACACTCAAAACTCTATAAATAGAGCCCCATCCATTTCATGAGAATAGGAAGAAAAGTTGAGGCTTGAAGAAGAGCTTGAAGGTTTGAGAATGAGTTGAAGTCCAATGCGACTTTTGCCGCCGACGACCACTGCCGACCACCGTCAACCATTATCGACCCCCACTTGTTGACCGTCATTAATCATCATCGATCGCTCTCATTCCTTACAACAATTTCACCCGCACGTTGACGTTGTAATTTGGAAGACTTTGTAGCACTTTTCTGCATGTACGATAAAGGGTCTCTGTAATTGTCAACTTAAAGTAGATTTTTACAATTGGTTCACGTCCCATGGTCTTTTCTCTTTAAGGATTTTCCACGTAACAACGTTCGGTGCCACTACTGATTGTCTTTTTTATTGTAGTGTGTGTTGAATTCTTGTGCAACGCTAAGACGATAATCTATTAAGCTATCCCTTCAAATTTTCAAGTACACATCAACTTGTATCTCTCAAAGATGACCATGTAGGTCCAGGCATTGGGTCGCATTCCCTTCCCCATCATATCAATCTTGTATTTTCATGTCTCTCGAAATTTAGAGTCCTTCGCAAGCATTCATTTGAAGGTGCAGAGGCGGGTTTTCCAGCGGGGTTTAATGTTAACAGAGTGCTACTTGACATAATATTGAAGTTTAGGTTTGAGAAATACAATGTTAGTAGTTGTCAAAAGGGAAAAAATGTGACAAACTAAAATTGATAGTGTGATTGATATCAAATGATGTTCATTCTGTTTAATATTGAAATATTATGATATATATATTGGCATCTTTAACGATAGATTAGTAAGTTTTGGCTATTATTTCTTATGACTTGATACATAACATTTGATTATAACTTTAACATTGAATTTGTATGAAGCCTTTGATATCATTTATGATGAAAATTAATTTCTCGTCATTTCACTTCTCTTATAAGGTGAGGTTGTATGCTCCACCATGTAATCATTCTCGATTCTATATATATGCTGTTAGCCCAACATATAACACTTTTTTAAGTTGGATTTATAAGACTTATATTAGAGCCACTCAAAGGATTAAGAAATGCTAGTCATTTATACTATCAATCTACATAATCAACCTGAACTTCATCAACATAAATGCCTCAATTCTATTTGATGCATTGAGCAAATTTATATGTTCTTTTTTTAGCTTTCCCCTAACAAACATATTTATGAGTATCATTTACATTATTTTGTTGAGTTGTAACCTCATGACCACATCTACATCCCTGGAGGACTCATCTCTTGTATGCTCGCGAACAGCTCGTGTTCGGCTCGTTTTAGTCGAACACGAACAACTCTTTATTCGCTCGTGTTCGGCTCGTTTTAACTCGAAATAAAAAAAATATATATATATAATTTTTTTTATATAATAATATATTTAAAATGTAACTGCTTGTTTGGTAATGTGATTATTCGTTTTTTTTTTGCATTCATTTGGTCCAGGTTCTAATCCAACACTTTACATTTGTTTTCTCGGTTTAATTTTAACGAGCCAATTTCGAGTCGAACACAAGCTGAACACGAACATGAATATTTAAATCGAGCCGAACACGAACACACTGTTCACGAGTCGGTTTCGAACACGAGCCGATTTCAAACACGAACAATTTTGAACGAGCCGAACATGAGCCAAGCCTGAACTCGCTCAACCTCGACTCGCTTCCAACCCTAGTGATATTCTATCGTTTGGTCGCCTCTTATCTAGGCCGGCTAAGTTTAGTTAACTTGACTCGAATGAGTTGGCTCGATCCACCGAGCACAATCTGTAGGATTCAATTAGTTGACCGAAGCCAATTAGATATCTTCAATCCTTAATGAAGAGCTTTTGGGCCTTTGTTGTAGGTTTCAAAGTGCTTTACTAAGCTGGCTTTTCCATTGGATCGGCTCTCCTATGAGGTAAGTTGTTGCATTGAATCAGCTTCCCTTTGGATGGCTAGCGAGAAGCTCTTCCAGCTGATTTCTATAGGAATTGCTTTTATTCGGATTGCTTAATCCTTTTTTTTCGTAAACCGTTGTGCTTGATCAGCTTTAACCTAGTTGATTGGACTCATCCGGCTCGGCTAATCCGACCTAAAGGACTTGACTCATCTGGCTTGACTGGTCTGACCTTGTGGACCTAACAAACTATTTACTCGAGATCATTTTGTCACGTTCTTCTCTTCAGAACCACAAGTTCTTTATGAGATCTTGATGACACCTTTTTTATGTACATTAGGTTTTATTTTCAAAGATATAAATGTTTAATATTCTAATTAAATCTTTATTTAGTATGTAGTCGCAATAAACTTAAAAAGTTTGTCTTAAAGTTGCTCCAAAAATCTGATGAGCTTCCAGTTCATTAAATTTTATTTAATTTCCATTGATTGGCGGACTTCTAATTCCAGTGTTTGAGGGCCCAATTTAACTATTTATAATATCTTGGACTTGGCATAAAATACATATTTTAGAACCAAAAATTATTTCTTAAAAATATAAATTTATAATAAATAAATAAATTCTAAGAAGTTCGTCTGTCATGCAGCCCCACTAACTTAGGAATTCTTTCATTGTCTTTGGGTTGTGTGTGAATATATATATATAATATACTTATATTTATATATTCATATATATAAATGAAAAATATGTCAGCACGAATCTTAAGATAAATAAACAACTCGGAAGAAATATATAAACGATCGAACGTAACAGTTGATGACCGTTTTAAATGAAGATTGGCGAAGAAGGCGTGTAGTTCAAGCGATCGGAGAACACTCCAGAGGATCTCTCACATGGAAGCAATCAGCCCTTAGGTCGATCGGCAAGAAGCACCCTTTCGGATCAAAGACAGACGAAGTCAAGGCTTAGCAGACAGTCGGCGAACTTCCTACTAGTTGAATCAGTCATCTGGTATTATTTACCTCTGTAATTACCAGAAGACCCCTCTCAAAAATCAATGATGAGGGGACTGATATATAATTTTGTAAAATTAGGGAAATATTCTTATAAATAGTGTGTCCTCGTCATGAATGAAGGTCACACTCTCTTTCATTGTTCTCTATTGTGCTCTCTCCACCTTCCTCATCATTCCTAGATGTGTTACACAAGGAAAAAAGGAATATCATGTAAATGTAGAACGCTCTTTACCTCATATGTGTTACACAAGGAAAAAAGGAATATCATGTAAACTACTTTAACAAGATAATATAAGTTGTTTTTGATTTTTATAAGCTTGTTGGGATCAAACACCACAAGATGCAATTAAATATTTGAATTTAAAGTATTTTATGGCGATATTTTTAAACAAGCTAACTCATGAGCTGAAGAATTGAGTGGAGGCTGACTCAAAATTCACTAATTAGCACATGAAAGTCAACTCCTAAATTATTAATCGTTGACCTCTAGCCGGCTCATAAATCAACTTATTGCACCATCAGTGTCATGACACATGAACTTCAATTGATCAAGTTCTCATCAATCATCAAAAGCTTTAGGGATGTGCATAATAATAGAATTAAAGCTGAGTTTGACTGGGTCAATGCTGGGAGTTTAGTGGAACGATTCGTAATTTGGATAACATAAAATTACTTAATTGCTGATTAACTCGTGCTTTTAAATTAGTGGAAAAACATATCTGCCGTCCGAGGGATCCGGTGGAAGGAAGGTTGGCTCGTTACACAAACTACTGTAATTTTAAATTATATGTGCTTGTGTTTATAATTTAGGAAAATTTACATCCATACGAAATAATATTTATGCATTTACATATCTAATATGCATGCCAAATAATATTTATGTATTTAATTTTAAAAGGATGGTGATTGATGCATGCTAGAAGATTCGTGGTGTTAGAGTAATGAATTATCGTCTTAGCGTTGTACGAAAATCTATTTCTCACTCAGATAACAGAAAAAATAGTAAATAAGGCATCGGTTTTAACGTGGAAAACCAGGAAAGACAAAAAATTGCGGGGTCTT